TCCCCCTGGGTAGAGTGCCATGGCATCACGCTCACAGCAACCTCCAACTCCTGGGCTCAAGCGAGTCTCCTGCCTCACCCTCCCAAGTAGCTGGGACCACAGGCGCCCACCACAGCACCTGGCCATTTTTTGGTTGCAGCCATCATTGTCGTTTGGCGGGCCCAGGCTGGGGATTCGAACCCGCCACCTTAGGTGAATGTGGCTGGCGCCTTAGCGGCTTGAGCCACAGGTGCCGAGCCTATCTTTTTTCTTTTTAGAGATGAGTTCTTGCTGTGTTGCCCAGGCTAGAGTGCAATGGCATCACCACAGCTCACAGCAGCCTCAAACTCCTGGGCTCATGTGAAACCTCCTGCCTCAGCCTCCCGAGCAGCTGGAATTACATCATGTACATGTCACCACACCTGGATAATATAAAATTTTTTTTAGTGATGGGTATCACTGTTATCAGACTGGTCTCAAACTTCTGGCTTCAACTGATCCTCCTGCCTTTGCCTATTTCTAATGCTTTTCTGAAGTGTCATTTAATTCCTAAGTCTTCCTCATTCCATTGGTTTTTTTTTGGTGACAGAGTCTCATTATGTCACCCTTGGTAGCATGCTGTGGCATCCCAGCTCACAGTAACCTCAAAATCCTAGGCTTAAGTGATTCTCTTGCTTCAGCCTCCCTTTTTGTTGTAGTTGTCGTTGTTTAGCTGGCCTGGGCCGGGTTGGAACCCTTCAGCCTCAGAGTATATGGCTGGTGCTGTAACCACTATGCTATGGACGCTGAGCCTAATTACACTCTTAATAAAGCATTTAGAAAGGGAATTATGGCATATTATTTTTCAAATTAAAATCTATTGCATAATTCTATGCTTGGTCAGATTACTCTTCAAGTGTAAATGAAGTACTTTGAAATATGTATTAATTAGGTATATGTTTTATGGACTTAACAAATATTTTAATACAAAACATTTTATTTTCTATTTATTATTATTATTATTATTATTTTTTAGACAGAGTCTCACCATGTTACCCTTGGTAGGGTGTCGTGGCATCACAGCTCACAGCAACCTCAAACTTTTGGGCTTAAGTGATTCTCTTGCCTCAGCCTCCCAAGCAGCTGGGACCACAGGTGCCCACCACAGCACCCAGCTATTTTTTTGTTGTAGTTGTCATTGTTGCTTGGCAGGCTCAAGCTAAGTTTGAACCCACCAGCCCTGGTGTGTGTGGCCGACTCACTGAGCTACAGGTACTGAGCCACAGGCACCAAGCCAATATAAAACATTTTAACATACACAAAAGTAGAGAGAAATACAATGAATGCTGGTGTTAGTTTCTATGGCTGCTGCAACACATCACCAATTTAGCAACTTCAAACAACACAAATTTATTACCTTATAGTTCTGCAGGTCATGAGTCTGACCTAGGTCTCACTGGGCGAAAATTAAGGTGTTGGAAGGGTATCTGGGGGCTCTACACAAGAATTCATTTCCTTGCCTTTTCCAGCTTTGAGAGGTCACCTGCCTCATTCCTTGGCTAGTGTCCCTTCCCTCCATCTTCAAAGTCAGCAACATGCTGAGCCCTCCTCCGTGGTATCTCTCTGACCTTCCATCCATTGTCACATCTCTTTCTGACTCTGATATGGTTGGGAAAGCCTCTTAACTTGTAAGGACCCAGGTGACTAGATTGAGCTCCGTGAGATAATCCAGGATAATTTCTCCATCTCAAGGTCCTTAACTTTAATCACATCTGCAAAATACCTTCTGCTATGTAAGGTAACAGATTCAGTGGACATCTTTGAGACAGGGACATTATTCTGCCTACAACCATGCCCGTGTGCCCATATCCTTACTTCAACCTTAACATTTGCCAATATCGTTTCTCTTCCTATCTCCCACTTTTTTCCTAAAAATAAATCCCAGAAATTTGTTATTAAATTGTATTAAAGCAAATTCCAGAAATCATATAACTTTCCTACATATGTGTCAGTATATTTCTCTGATAAGAATTTAAAAAAAAACAACTATGATAGCATTGTCATAACAAAATTATTAGTATCAATAATTTTCGAATGTCTAACACCTAATGTTTTAGTTTTTCAACTTTAAAAAACTCTTTAAAAATGTGTTTATCCAAATTAGGACCCAAACAGGGTCCACAGACTGCATTTGCCTAATATGTCTTTCAAATGTCCTTTTTTTTAATGAGGGGGAGAGAAGGGGTCTCACGTTTTTGCCCAGGCGGGACTCAAACTCTCTGACTCCAACTCCAGGCATCCACCTGCCCCATCAGAGGCTAAGACTTCAGGTACGCATGAAGTCTTTTTTACAACAGCTCTCCCTCACCACCTCCTCCTTTAAAAAAAAAAAAAAACTCATGCCATTTGTTTTTGAATAAAAATATTGGGTCATTTGGTCTGATGAATTTCCCACATTCTGGATTTGGCAGCTTGCTTCCTGGTGCTGTAATCTAACACATTCATTTGGTCCCTGTATTTTGGAAGCCTGTAGTTAGAGTTATAAGCTTAGCTGGATTTAGTTTTTTTTTCTTTGTTTTTGTCAGCCAGAATACATTGGAGGTGAGGCTGCGTATATTCTACAGATTCTTATCGGTATTGATATCGAGTCCGGTTGTCCCAGTTTTGGAGATGTTTTGGCGATGTTGAAGCTGCTCATCTGGACTGTCATATTCTTGATCAGTGGTAATAGTCATTCACTGCAGACTTGCTGGGGACCAGGCATTTTGTGGTTTGCTTTCTGTATGATTTCTCATACTTTACTCAGTACATACTCAGATTTGTGAAAATGTACCAGAATTGGTTGGTTGGAAGACTCTACTTGGATTATTACTCTGAGCTAGTTTACTTTTTGAAATATGGGATGAAAAATGCTGCTTTTAACTTATAGGCTTATTTTGAGGAAAATTTAAGGAAATGGATATGAAAGCACTTTGAAAAGTAGTTCACGCGGGGTTATACTGTTACTAGTAACATTAGCTTAAAAAAAAAAAGAATAAAGAAAATCCATAATAAATATTTGGCCCTCATTTATTCATCACACATTTCCCGAAGGCACTTTGCAAGGCCCTGGGTACAGGAAGTTGGAAAAGTCGTGGCCGCGGGAAGGCGGGAGCAGGGCCGGGATCGCAGCTTCCAGTCGCCCCGCTCCTCCGCGTGGGTCGCGGTGACTTTGGCTCCGGTAGCTTCTGACCCCGCGGGGCTGGACCGGCCGAGCGCGGAG